AGAGCGAGCCGTCCTAGTGAGGCTTTAACACAAAAACCCCAATAACGATCACTGGTACATCGTGCCCTAGCAATGCATCCATCTAGTCTGGGACCAGGAGGGTCTAGATTCCTGGCTAGAGTAGCAACGACAAAGGCCACGCCTTTTAGCTGGCCGAGGACTGGCCTCGCCTCCAGGGGATCCATGCGTCCGTGCCGGAGCCGAGAGGTTCAACGGAGCGACTTGGTGGCCAATTGAGCGGATCTTTGATAGAGGGTAGGCTTTTCGTGCCATCCTTTCGCTCGTTGGGGCCCCGGGCCGGGGGCTTGCTTCAGCGCACGCAACCTGAACGCGAGCGACCAGAGCCTCAAACGGGCCTCTCTACATTACGTTGCCTGACACCAATGCCTAGCCAGCGGTCGGCGGGGTTGGACTTTGAGGTTGGCTAACGAAATGATAATAGTCTCGGTACATGTACCGTTTACAAACAGAAGCGACTTCAGACTGGCTGATGCCGGCCAGCAAAAGCTATCCACGCTCGGCACGAAACGAACAGCTTCAAGTTTGCCAGCAGTGGCCACGTACGGCTCGAGATACAAACGCCAATCGTCGGTGCGCCAACTCAAAAAGAGGGGGGCGCTGGCGTAAGACTCGTCACTATTCCATCATCAAACCCTCGAGCTCGTGTTTGCCTGCCCACCCGATTACCGATTACAATCAGCTGCAGACAGAAAGGCAGGCACGGGGAAATTTTTCCAGCGGCTGACGGCTTGACATTTGCATGTGTTTTGCGTTATGCACCATGTTTGTTGTGGCAGGCTTTGTTTTCCTCTTGCTGAAGTCTGTTCCCACTTGTGGCCTCGTCCTGCGCCGAGCGCATCACCGACAACGAATTCGAAAGGCACGTACTTACAGCACTGACGGGCCGGCCAAGAGATCTCCCTGCCTGCCACCGAACCTGCTCAGGCTGGTGTTATTTGCGATCAGTCACATCACAAGCTATCCCCCCCTGAGAGCCGTGGCTGTGGCACTCGCGAGCCTTCCGGCACCCGGGAGGAATTGACGAATCTTGTCGAGACAATGACAGGATGTTGTTGCACAAACGCTGACCCCCACACCCTCCCCAAGTCATGGACGTGTCTCTCCCTCACACCCGCGCGCTTTGATACCCCTCCCCCCTTCCACTTCGACATGTTCCGTATACTGTACTGTACACACCACAGACAGAGCTTTCCGCCCAATGGTCGTTCAACAGGGCTTGCCCCTGAACGGTGATCGACAAGTCACTTGACCTGTCCTATCCGTGGGATGGACTTTTCACGTGGTTCCAGAAGCCACACTTGCAGCCACTGTCTTACATTGCTCCCTTGAAGCGCATCTGCATCATTTCTTTCGAGAGAGGAGCAGGAGGTAGAGAAAGAGTCCTGTGCCTGTAATGGGAAGCTCCATCAGAGTCTATGTTGAACGGGGTGTACAATGTGGATCGATGTCTCTTCAGTCTCAGACAGCAGAGCCGCGAGCGGCTATTCGAGGGTCACAGAAACCACGCCAACGAAACCCCACGGACTAAATCGGGTCCCACGATCGATCCCCATTCTTTTCAGCATGGTTCAGATGGTGTGCGGATTTCGTCTCACCCGCCATCCAGACCTCGATCGTCCGTCTTGGCATTCTCCACGGGAACGACATGCCTGGGTATACTTGACGAGGGATTCACATCTGATGAGCGCCTCCGCAAGCGACATTGAAGTCGACGTGTCACCTATCAAGATACATGCATCCCTTGAGCGGTTATGGAGACGTGTCAATTTGGGCCTGACATATACGAGAGATGTGCAGAACCGTCTGCTCTGTTTAGACTATGTTTAGACATGGCCACAACGCCGGCTGCCAGACGATTGATCCTTTTGATGCAAGCTTCGGCGAGACAAGGTATTCAAAAAGGGGCCTGTCTAGCAAAGCCGACATGGCATGAGCGGAGCCGAATGTACTTGGTAGCTTTGCGGGAGAATGAAACCCGAGATGCTTGCTGCCTTGCAGAACCAACATGGCAGGCAAACACTGGACCACGGCTTCTGAACACAGAGATGGGCCTCTGTTCTAAGCACGTTGCGTGGCCTGGTGCGGTCCTGCGACGCCAGTGATGGAAATACTGTGTACATTTCAACTCTCGGGGTGGATGAATGCGCCCTCGCTCGCTCGGCGGAGTGGCGCCAGCATCGGGGCTGGAGACGGCAGACGCACGTATTGCGGTCGTTGGAGCGATGGCGCCAATTCTGGGCTCGAAGACTGGGTGAGGGGGTAGGGGTTTGCTACCAACGACTGACATTGGAATCAGGGCAAAGCCAGCCATGCGCGTTGGTCCTCGTTTGGATAAGGGCCGCCTGCAAAGCATGCTGCGGGATTACGAAGTCGAGAGCAAAGTAAAACGGAAAAAAAAAGAAAAAAAAAGGAGATGCAGAAAATCATATCTCCGCGACTTGAGGTTGGGGCGGACTCGCACGACAGTTCCGGTCTTTGATTCATCAGTCGTTGCGCCGCCCTCGCCCGTGGCCTCCGTCATGCAGGCCAGGCCGGCGCTCCGCAGCCAGTCGTCAAGCCCTGTGTGGTGTTGAGCCTCCATCGGTGGTCCCTCCCCCCCCTCTTCCCTCTGTCTCGTGGCTGGCTCAACGAGAGGGAGAGGCTGGAGGCTGAAGGTAGTTGACGGGTGAGAATGGGGGTTGCGTTATCTGGCGGGCCTCGCACGAGCCAAGATCCATCATTCTGCAGCGGTGGCGGGGTTCTGGGATCTGCGGACTGTGACGCCTCAGATCTACACGGCCGGTCAACGACGCCGTGTCGTCTCGAGTGGTTCGATACGATCGATGGTGATTTGGTGTTGCTGGCCCACGATGTGTTTCCCCTTTGACCTCGACGTCAGGGGTCCTCCGCACCCCCGCCACGAACGCAAAGAATGCAATCAAACGGGTGTGGCGAATGCAGGAAGCCACTGACAGCGCAACGACCGTCGGAGTGCGCCCC